CCAAATGTCCTTACAATAATCAAACCTGACAAACGTTCCTTGTGCGAACATGCCCAGTGGAAAACAGCTTCATAAAGGAACTAAATTCTATCTTATTTCATTAAATTTTGGAGTATTTCCCTATGAAGGCAAATGCATGAACTATGTGAACACTGGAATGACGGTTTGCCTTTGCAGAGCAGAATAATTCACTCTGAAACAGAAAATGTATTTACTCACCCTCACATAGTTGTGGCGACAGTAAATGGGGGTTAAAATTGTGTAAAAATTGCCAAATAAATCCACAAAGTGTCACGCTGCTGCTAGATGAAGGTAAAGGCACACAAAGAAGATAAATTCAAACAGGGTATTTATTCCAACAAACACAGAAGATCAGGTAATCCATGAACAGCAAACATGAGGTATAAATAATAACCGACAAACTCAAACTGAACAGACAGGAACTTAAATACACAGACCAAAGGAGCGCTGTAAAAAAAGTCCCGTTAAAAAATACGGTCAAATGACCGGCAGCTACGGCCTGCCAAACAAAAAACGTAAAATTAAAGTAAAATATCGTAATTGAAACAAAAGGAAAAATCTGTAAAATAAAATGTTTTTCCTGCAAAACCTTTAATGAATTTTTTTTTCAATGATTTTTTTGCACTTTATTTCAATTAAGATATTTTACTGTAATTTTACGTTTTTTGTTTGGCAGCCAGTCATTTGACCGTTTTTTTTATTTTTTTTGCGATTTTTGTTTTTACAGTGAGGATAATGATTTAATTAACAAGACACAGGTGAACTAACTAACATAATCAAGGGGAGACAGAAACTAGGTCAATGAACACATGAGGAAAGAAAACAAACTAAAGGTCCATGTGGTTGTGACACAAAGCTATTGTTGCAGCCAAATTTATTAGTTTTTCTTTAATTATATTTATGATTTGGCACAAACTTGAAATTAATGTTAATCAAAAACATTTATTTTCCCAAAGATAAAAATTTATATTTATCAAGTAAAAGTAAAAATATTATTATAAAGACCATACTTAATATTATATATCAAGACAATTTCTTTAGACACATATGGAGGACCAAACCTACAGAAATTAAAAACAAATAAATATGCAAATAAATAAATGTGTGTATAAATAAATAAATATGCAAATAAATAAATAAATGTGTGTATAAATACACGTATTCTTGTTTAAATACATATATAAATAATTAAGCGTGTAATGAAAGTAGGCAAATAAATAAAATTAATTGGTGGGCAAATGGAAAATGTTTAAGGAAATGTTAAACTCATCCTAACTATTTTCTTTAAATCACTCATTTATTTCTGAATGTAGTTACACATTTATTTTTCCTCTGCACAACATGCTAATGAGAGGGTGTCAACTATGGACTTGGTCGGTGTGGCTTTCCCTCTGACAGGAGATGCATGGTGTAAATCCAGTATAGCCTAGTAAAGTCACTTTTGCCGTTCATAGAGCATACTTAAAAAAACATAGAAAACTGAGCCGTATTGTCTGTACAGTATCTGTGACTTTACAAACGATCCAATGGAATGGCCAGAGGTGTCGTTTCCCGACGTTCTATATTCTATATCGCAAGGGACCGTCTCTAAAGTTACATAAGACATTGGTATACACTTTTCTAACTTCAATAGCATTTGAGGAGAATGACTTACAGTACATAACCAACTGTAAAGTGCTCATATAGGTCTCAGTTATAATGCACACCTTTTAGATTATTAAAATAAACTGTCAAATCATATATAAATATGCTGTTTATTTTACTACTGAATGGGCTCAAACACAAAATATATCATAATTTAAAGCTCAGTAGCATTTGAGGAGAATGACTTACAGTAACACAACCAACTCTAAAGTGTTGATGTAGGTCTCAGTTATAATGCACACCTTTTATCATATAATAATATCATATAATATGAAAGTAGAATTTTCACTTAAGGTAAAACTAAAAACGTTTTGTTAATCAATGTTTAATTTCATTTACTTACTATAAATAAGGACATGAATGTTTGTTTTGAAAGACATTAATAAGCCAAGTCACGCCAAATACTATTAAGTCATTTTTTATTTTATTTTGTTTTATTCTTTTTTTTTTTTGTCCTTTCGGGAGTTTTATTTTTTATCAACCAAACTGAATTTAGATAATGACATTTCACTTTTTCAGTCTGTGCATTTTTGTCATTTTGGGAGCTTGACAGCCCTAGTGTTCTTACTCCTTTGTAAGTAAAAGAGCAGCCTGAACATTCTGCTAAACTACTTCTTTTTTGTTTGACAAAAGGGTTTGCAACATAGGGTGAATAAATGATGACAGAATTTAGTTGGATTAGTCTTTAGGAATTATGATTAGCTTAATTCAAAGCAGTGGATGTTTGTCCTGACACAAATCATCACATTCATGAGTGCGTGCATGTGTGTGTGTGTGTGTGTGTGTGTGTGACTGTGAATGCATGTACTCGCATACATCACATAACAGGATATGTTTCTACCTGCATATGTGAGATTAGTGTTAATTGGTCATTGTTCCTCGACTTTACCTCAGCTCAGAGTTCAAACCTCCAGCCAAACGTTCAGCTCATAAACAACAGCGATCATGAGCAGAGGGATGTTTTTTAAATTCTTCACAGCTGCTGTTGATCACTACAGATGATCTAGAGCGTGTATGTCTAAATTCAGATGAAAATGTTCCATGGTTTGAGCGTGCAGTGCGTTTGGGGCAGCGATGAGTCACTGTCCTGAGAGGGATGCTGATATTACCTCTTAATATTAATATTGCTGATATTACATCTTAATATTAGCCTGAACATGACTCAAGAATGCACATATTCATGGCTGATGGTGCGTGGGGTTTGGAGGATCTCTCTGGGCTGGATTAGGTAATGCAGGCATGTTTTCATAAGTGAATATGACCCTGAGTCAGACTCATGGACATGTCTGTGTTTGTTTCTCCGTATGCCCAGGTCCGTTTCTCTGTGTGTTCTAGTACAGTGTGATTGTGCCCCGGAGGCAGACTGCTGTAGTAGACAAAACACTTACCAGGTTACATGACAAATCAGCTCTTTTTCTCTCTCTGACATCCTTTTTTTGGCTTTGGCTTTGCTCTCTCCTGTGTCTCTCTGTGATTCTGTCTGACCCAGTTTTATTGCATCAGAGGTGTTAACTATCACTGTTATTATTGTTTATATTTCCTCTAGCACTGAGTTTTATAGGTCTGTGTGTGTGTGTGTGTGTGTGTGTGTGTGTGTGTGTGTGTGTGTGTGTGTCCGTCATCCTGCAACGTTTGTGCAAACAGCACCTGGCCTCAGCAGTGCCCTGGAAACCACCCACAATTATTCAGAATCACTGCAGACAGTTTTGCACAAGTGCACGTAAATGATCATTTGCACAAGCAAAACTCTTCAGAAAATGTAAAAAAAAAAAAGACGAAGAAGAAGAATTGTATTTGTCTAGTTTGGGTATCACTAGTTTAAGTATCAGTTTACTAGTGATACTAGTAAAACTAGTATCACAAAACTAGTGATACCTAAACTAGTTTATATAGTTTAAGTATCACTAGTTTAGTGATACTAATTTTAAGTAACAGTATTTGTCTAGTGTAGGTGTCAGTAGTTTTGGTAGTCATACTAGTTTAAGTGTCAGTGTTGGTCTAGTTTAAGTCTCAGTTGTTTATTGATACTAGTTTATGTATTAGTATTTGACTAGTTTAGGTGTCAGTGGTATGAGATGTCATACTAGTTTAAGTGTCAGTGTTGGTCTAGTTTAAGTCTCAGTTGTTTATTGATACTAGTTTATGTATTAGTATTTGACTAGTTTAGGTGTCAGTGGTATGAGATGTCATACTAGTTTAAGTGTCAGTGTTGGTCTAGTTTAAGTCTCACTTGTTTACTGATACCAGTTTAAGTATCAATATTTCACAAGTTTAGGGGTCAGTAGTTTGGTTAGTAATACTAATTTAAGTATCAGTATTGATCTAGTTCAGGTGTCACTAGTTTGAGTAGTCATACTAGTGTAAGTATCTATATTTCTCTAGGTTGGATGTCAGTAGTTTGTGAAGTAATGGCAATGTAATTATCAGTGTTTGTTTAATCAACAGTATTTAAGTAGTGATAGTTTAAGTATTAAGTAATTGTCAAGTTTCTGTATCAGTCAATAATAATTGTTTTGGTATCAGTACTGGACTAGTTTGGGTGTAAGTAGTTTTGGCATTCCAGGTATTCATACTACTTTGGTTATCAGTGTTTGTCTAGTTTAATTATCAGTATTCATGTCATGATACTAGTTTAAGTATCAGTAATGGTCTAGTTTTGGTGTCAGTTGTTCTGGGTAGTCGTATAGCTTAAGTGTCAGTATTTATGTAGTTTAGGTATCACTAGTTTAATGACACTTGTGTAAGTATCAGTACTGATGTAGTATTTGTATTGATCTTGTTTATGTGTCATTTATAGTGTAATCAGTGTGTTGTGAATTGTACAGCTCTGATCATTAGGTCTCAGAAGAATTTGATGAATAATTATGAGTTCATATTGAGATCTCTCATGTTTGATTGCCATTATTGTTGTCTTGGGCAAATCTGAGCACAGTTTAAGATTTACATTTGCTCTCAATGAAAGGTGACGTGAAGCAATTGAGATATGAAAGAGATCTCATTATTAGCTGTTAGCTGTTTCATGGGTGGGCCAATGAGTACCATACAGATTTACTTAATTTTAGTTTCCTGATGTTTGTGCTGCATCCTTCCTTTTTCATTCCTCTTTCTTTGAAACTCTTGCTATGAACATCTTAGAGGAGAATTCCTAGTTGCATGTGATGTGTGATTATGGTAGGAAACTCATAAAAAGTTCATCACAAGCAGAACTGAGGTCTGTAATTACAGACAGCTAAAAACAGCCGTTCCACAAACAAATAATGGCTGTCGAATGAATCTCAAAAAATCTTTTAAGATCATGCCCAGGTCTGTATGTTGTGATTGTGAGCAGCTCATTAATGCACGTGTTTGTGTCTGCAGCCCTGCGCAGTGGAACAGGTCAGTCGGTGGTGAACGGACGCTGGGCGGTCGATCCTCCGGGAGAGTATCAGGCAGGAGGAACTACCTTCCTGTACAGCCGACCCAAAGCTGGGCCTCAAGAGCAGGGAGAAGAGAGAGGAGAAACCCTCAGCGCTCCTGGACCCACAACAGCCCAGCTGCAGCTATACGTAAGCACACACACACACACACAGTAATGTGGAAAGAGGTAGACAGATATGGCTTGTGTGTGATGGAGCACAAACTCTGAACTGGGAGGGTTTACTGCAGGAATGGATGGAAGGAATAAGCCATTACTTTATGTTTATACATGACTATTGTGTTTATTGATGATGATATTATATGAATATAACGCTTCTCCTAACTCATGTTAGAAACTCTATCATTTTCCTGTAACGGCTTATATCATGAAACAGTATGAGGCAATACCAGAAAGTATTTTAAATTAATAAAAATACACACATTATCAGTGTTTATGTTGTGGTTCTAGTTGAATACCAGTATTGGTCAGGTATCAATAGTTTGGGTAGTCATACTAGTTAAAGTGTCAGTATTTGTCTAATTTAGGTATCAATAGTAATCAATCATACAAGTTTATTTAGGTTTGATAGTCATACTGTAGTTATCGGTATTTAGTTTAGTTATCAATATTTAAACAGTGATACTAGTTTAATTATCAGTATTTGTCTAGTTTGGGTGTGAGTAGTTTTGGTAGTCATACAAGTTTAGTTATCTGTTTTTTGCTAGTTTAATTATCAATATTTAATTTGTGATACTAGTTTAAAGGGGACATAACACACACCGTTTCACCCAATCTCATGTTAATCTTGAGTACCTATAGAGTAGTACTGCATCCTTCATATCTCCAAAAAGTCTTTAGTTTTATCATATTTATAAAAGAAAGATACAGCTTTACGATTCTCTCCGGAAAAAGCCGAGCTCCTGGAGGCGCGCCGTGGGCGGAGCTAATGATTGACGAGCACTTGAGCTCCGACTGCCAACAAAAAAGACATTTGATGCAGTTTCACTTACCGTCTGCAGTTCTGAATCATGACCGGGATCTTTTACAGCTGGGACCCCTCCATCCTTCAGTATCAAACGATATGCAAATCCAGCGTCGAACTGGGCCTTGTTTATAAAACGTCAACAAACACTCTTGTGAAACTGCATTGCTGCTCCGGAAAAACAAACTGCATGCACTGTTTACATAACGTTAGGGTTCTTTAGGAAGCTGAACAAAGTTATCTTTCCCTTACAACCAAAAACACACTTCTTTAGAGACATTCTTCCCGAGCGAGTCCCATGCAGCGCTGCC